CCAGTGACCTCGACAGGCTCGACCGCGTCTACCTGGGACACACCTGAAGGGGCAGGACCCTGAGGGGGGAGGGGGACTACCGGGGGGGGACCTGGTACCAAGAAGAGCGGGGGTGGGGGGAGGGACGGAGTGCGGTAGGGGAAGAGGCGGTAGTAGGGTACCGACTCGTCGAACGTGACGTCCTGGGAGGACAGAACACGTCGAGAGGTGGGGTGGTAAAACTGCCACCCAGGGGCGTCGGGGGGGAACCCCAGGAAGACGCAGGGAGAAGCACGAGGGGACAGCTTGTCCGCAGACAGGTCGCGAACAAACGCCCGAGATCCCCAGACCCGGAACGCCGACGCATCGCCAACCTTCCCCGTCCACAGCAGGGCTGGGGAGGTCTCCGGTCGAGAGACCCTGGGGTGGAGGTTGATCTGGTGCGCAGCGTACCTGACCGCAAACGGCCACAGAAAATGGGGAGCAGCCGCATGCATCATGGACGTACGAGCGACGTCCATGACCATGCCAATGCGGCGCTCAGCAATCCCATTTTGCTGCGGTGAGTCCGGAAGCGTGAAGGTCTGACGGATGCCTCGCACACGACAGTAGGCACTCAGGAGGCCGGAGGAGAACTCTCCACCTCTGTCCGAGTGCAGACGCAAAACAGGGAAGTCAGAGCCAAAGCTCCTCCGAAGCTGGAGACGAGCTGCGCGGATCCAGTCGATCAGCACCTCAGTGACCTCACCCTTGCTGCGCAAGGGGAAGACTGTGGTGTAACGCGAGTAGTCGTCAACCACCAGCAGGAAGTAGCGCTCCTGACCCTGCCCACGGACGCGGGCTGGGCCCCACACGTCCATGTGAAGCGTCTGCAACGGGGCCTCTGTGGGAGGAAACTGGGAGGAGTGAGGGGCAGCACGCTGGCGCCCCTCGACACAGGGGACACAGGTGGGGCCAGGGCCCGGAGGAAGGGGAGGGAGAGACCGGGGAAGACCAGACACAAGGACTCGCGAGGCCATGCCTCTGAGCCGAAGCAGAGAGGGGTGGCCAAGGCGGTGGTGCCAGAGGAGGGTCTCGTGAGACAGACGACGACACGAGCAGGGGGCAGACTCAGGACCAGACCTGGACGCTGCAGCAAACACCTGACCAGACGAAGGGACCCTACCAGACTCAGCACCTGGAGGAGAAGCAGTGGTCAGTGTTTACAGGCTCGACCCTGGCCGACGTGTAAACGTAGCCAGGTGGCGACCTGTATCCTCCTCCGTGCAGTGGGTCACCCGCTGACGAGCAGGGGTGAACTGGTGGACACCCGCATCCTGGAGGTCAGCACCACTCACCAAGTTCGTCGAGAACGAGGGGAGGTAGAGACCAGTCAGGGTGCCAGAGGGGGCCGCCGGACACGGGAGGACAGTGGAGAAGCGAGCCAGGACAGGCCCCCCAGAGGGGTCAGCCAGGGACACTGCAACCGGCCGACTCAGCGGCGTGAGAGTGGTGCGGTCCCTAAAGAAGGAGCGAGACGCTCCAGAGTCAAGGGTGAAGGTGTGAGAGGCCGAAGCCGACACAGTACCTGAGAGGGCAGACTCACCAGCACCTGAGAGCACAGACGCACTGGCACCTAGAGCAGCAGCCTCACTAGTACCTGACGCGGCAGTACCAATGCCCGGGTCGGGCGGGAAACACCGGTAACAGTCATCCTCATCACTACCAATCGCAGCATACATAGCAGAGAGAATAGCATCAAAATCAAGATCATAAATAGCTACACCAGCCCTAGACAGCTCTCCCCAGCGGGGGATCTCAGCTGCCTCCGGAAACTGCTGACGCCAGGCGTCAGTCAGGCGGCCAAAGCAGCGGCGGGCAGTGTGGGCGCCTCCACACCTCTCCCCTGCACGGTCACCGGTGCGGAGAACGTAGGGGCAAGGACCAAGCGCACCACCACGCTGACGCTGCGAGTACCACTCACGGAGCTGCTGAGGGGCGGGGACGGTGCGAGAGCGCTGCTGCTGCTGTGGCTGCTGCTGCGGCTGCTGCTGCTGCTGCTGCTGGCACTGACCACCCCCGGAGCTGTTCCGCTGGGACGAGCCACTCCGACCCCCGCTTCCACTGCCACCCCCGCCTCCACCGCCACCCCCGTCTCCACCTCCACCTCCCCCACCAGGACCGTCGCTCCCACCGCTCCCACCGCCTCCTCCGCTACCACCTCCGCCGCCACCTCCGCCTCCACCGCCGCCACCAGTACCTCCACTCCCACCACCACCCCCACCGCCACCCCCACTCCCCCCGCCACCCCCACCGCCTCCTCCACCGCCCCCTCTAGCTCCACCCGCTCCCTTGCCCTTGCCAGCGCGGCGCCTGCCGCTGGGGGCAGACGCCGCGCCGACCGACTCAAAACCAGTGAGGTCGGCCGCAGCGGCAGAGGCGACAGAGGGCAGCAGGGGGGAAGGACCACACCCCTCAAAGATGGGGGTGCGAGGGTCACCCCGAGAGGCCCCTACAGCGACAATACTCTTCTCAGCCGCTAGCAGGGACTCCTCAAGGAGGTCGACAGTGAGAGTGGTGGGACAGACAGAGAGAAACTGGTCCCTAACGACACGAAGGGACTCAGGGAGACGGGTGACGAGAAAGTAGAGAGTGATGTACATGGGAGGAGGGTTCGCAGCGCGGAACTCAGCAGGAAGGGCAGCTCGGTAGCGGGTGTCACTAGCATGGAGGTGGGTAACGAGGTCAGCGACAGTGGGAAAGGAAGCGAGGTCAGGGAAGAGAAACGGTAGCATGAGGCGGCTAAGGGTAGCGGAGGAAGGGGAGGAGTAGCGTGCAACTACAGCGTCGTACAAGGCCTGAGCGGTCTTGCACTGACTAAAGTGGGCACGCTCAGAGGAAGGGAGGTGGCGACGCACAGCAAGACGTGCAGCAGCATCGCGGGTCGCCCACTTGGAGCGAACGGCAGAGTCAGCATCAGCAGGTGGGGCAGGGACAGCGCCAGAGACAAAGTCAAAGAGAGAGACCTCATCTATCGCATCACACAGTAAGTACAGCTGCAGGTCTTCAATCCAGACGGCAAAGTCAACGGCCCTCCCCTCAGCGTCAAAGGTAAGAACATTGGGGGTGGCCATGACAGCAGCTGAAAATCTCACCGGGGTGGGAGAGGCGGGTAGGTCAGCAGCAGAGGAACAGCAGTACGGCTCCGCAGGCGGCTCGGGCGGCGCGGGCGGCTCGGGCGCCACAGGCGGCTCGGCGGCGGCTCGGGCGGCGGCTCGGCGGCGGCTCGGCGGCGGCTCGGCGGCGGCTCGGCGGCGGCTCAGGCGGCGGCGGCTCGGCGGCGGCTCGGCTGCTGCTGGGCGGCGCGGGCGGCTCGGGCGTCACGGGCGGTTCGGCGGCGGCTCGGGCGGCGGCTCGGCGGCGGCTCTGCGGCGGCTCGGCGGCGGCTCGGCGGCGGCTCGGCGGCGGCTCGGCGGCGGCTCAGGCGGCGGCGGCTGCTGCTGGGCGGATCGGCGGGGCCGCGTAGCAGAGTGGCGGCGGGGCCGCGACCGAAAAGAGCGGCGGGGCCGCGTAGCAGGGGGCGGCGGGGCCGCGTAGCAGAGGGCGGCGGGGCCGCGTAGCAGAGGACGGCGGGGCCGCGATCGAAGGGCGGCGGGGCCGCGTAGCAGAGGGCGGCAGGGCCGCGTAGCAGAGGGCGGCGGGGCCGCTTGGCAAAGGGCGGCGGGGCCGCGATCGAAGGGCGGCGGGGCCGCGTAGCAGAGGGCGGCGGGGCCGCGTAGCAGAGGGCGGCGGGGCCGCGTAGCAGAGGGCGACGGAGCCGCGAGGCAGAGGGCGGCGGGGCCGCGTAGCCGAGGGCGGCGGGGCCGCGATCGAAGGGCGGCGGCGGGGCCGCGTAGCAGAGGGCGGCGGGGCCGCGATCGAAGGGCGGCGGGGCCGCTAGGGAAGGGCGGCGGAGCCGCGAGGGGAAGGGCGGCGCAACGGTCCGCTAGGGGCGACACGACGGGTCGCTAAAAAAAAACGCGCCTCGGGGCGCGGTTCGGTGGGCCCTAGAAGCAGTCCCTAGGAGGGAACCTGCTCTGATTCCATGTGAAAACAAAGAACGAGAATGAAATGACTATGAACGAAGTGAGTACAAATAGGAAACCCTAATTGGGTTGTACCCCCTATGGGATACCCCACTATAGCCTACAGAAACAAGTAAGCTATAAGTTCTGACAGGGATGTCAGAGTTATATTATTGTAACTGCATGTAGATATAGCAGTAGTGTAGTTATCACATTCTGTTTGGTGGATTACCCCCTTTCCTATCATATTTGTACCCTTAGCTCTATAGTGAAGTCCTCTTTCATTGCCAACTCCCTCACACTCTACCTCCCAACATGGCTCCTAAGGCTAAACCCTAGCAACATATCTTGACAGGGGGCTGGTACACGCTTCAGGGTAAACCTCGATAAGTGGAACGGCAACCCTGAGGCGACAGTGTTCCTTAATCTTAAAACCCGGCACATCAGGGTAAATCAAGGTTCCGAAAGAATTACCCAATGGCAGCAGTGTTACGGTACTACCAAAAATCACCCTTCTAGTCAGGGCATCAGGGTGATTTACACTGATAACGTGGGCCCTGCTTCAGACAGGCTAACAAAAGGGATGATCAGGTTGTAATACTATACAGCACATCAAGAATGTTTTAATTTGTACGTGTATCTTGATTCTCAGCCGTTCAAGCAGTCTTCTTTGCAGCGAAACTCTCCATTCTGCTTGGCCCAACTGCCGCCATATCCTACCCCACCGCTATTAGGCACCTCTCTTTCCGCCCTATTCCTGTTCCTGCTCTGCGCCTCCCCTCCACGGCGCGACACCATTGGGAAATCTTAACGAATAAGCTTATATATCTTTTGCCGCAACTGCGCTTAGTATTCACATTTTTCGACGACCGTCTCTCTGCGATTTTGCTGCGGGTGGGAGGTTTAAGCCTTGGCTCGAATCGCACGTCCCCATTTCGCCGTCCCCGTTTTCGGCGCTTTAATTAAACTCAGCGCATCATGCGGCCACCGCGCGGCGGAGGTTTCAGGGGGAGGGGCGGCGGAGGATTCGGAGGTCGCGGCGGGGGTTTCGGCGGAAGAGGCGGCGGAAGAGGCGGCTTTCAACGGGATGAGGGGCCGCCGTCCCACGTTGTGGGTAAGCAGCGACCTGTTTGGGTGGGGCGAGGAACGGCGAGGGGCGACGAGGGGAATGTAGGGAACGAATAGTCAGAGAGTTGGCTGGGTCGTCTTAGAATCGCTCGTGGCGGCGGTTTATGGTGGTGGGCCACGAAGAAAGTGTAAAGAGGCGATTGCGGGGGAGGTCTGATTACAGTGTTTATTGCGGGAGGTGATGTGGCCCTGTTCGCTTCGTCTCGTCTGCGCCCTTATCCTCTGTGCCCCCGTGCATGACGCTCACTCCCCGTGCGCACCTCCCGTGCGTCGCGCGTGCAGAGGTGTCGACGTTCATGCACGCGTGCGAGGGCGAGGCGGTGACGCGGCTGACGGTGGGAGAGAAGGTGCCGTACTTCAACGCGCCCATCTACCTCGAGAACAAGACGCAGATCGGCAAGGTCGAGGAGATCTTCGGCCCCATCAACGAGCCGGTCAGTGCGGTTGAGTGCGGTGAAGATGGGTTGAGTGCGGTGAGGTGGGGGCTGATTGCGGCTGACGGTGGGCGACAAGGTGCTGTACTCCAATCAACGCGCCCATCTACCTCGTGTATGTTTTCTAGTCAACTTCGAATGCAAACTTGCTCACCTTAATCTACTTTTAAGGCGGCTGATCCCCGCCTTCCCCACTTTCCTGAAATATTTTTCGATAAAGATTCAGGAGGGCAGGTGGCGACGTCTTACTCGCTGTTTCCCCGCCCTCATCTTTTTCTCTGTCCCTGCTGCGCTCTTTCCCTTTCTTCCCTCCCCCCCCCTCCTCCCCTCCTCCTTTCCACCGTGTGCAGTATTTTTCGATAAAGATGCAGGAGGGGGTGGTGGCGACGTCCTACTCGCCGGGGGACAAGTTCTTCATCGACCCCATGAAGCTGCTGCCGCTGCAGCGCTTCCTACCGCAGCCCAAGTGAGTGTAGGGGGATTGAGTGCGGTACTGGGTGGTGTGAATTGGTGGTGGCAATGTTGACCCCATGAAGCTGCTGCCGCTGCAGCACTTCCTGCCGCAGCCCAAGTGAGTGTAGGGGGATTGAGTGCGGTACTGGGTGGTGTGAATTGGTGGTGGCAATGTTGACCCCATGAAGCTGCTGCCGCTGCAGCGCTTCCTGCCGCAACCTAAGTGAGTGTAGGGGGATTGAGTGCGGTACTGGGTGGTGTGAATTGGTGGTGGCAATGTTGACCCCATGAAGCTGCTGCCGCTGCAGCGCTTCCTGCCGCAGCCCAAGTGAGTGTAGGGGGATTGAGTGCGGTACTGGGTGGTGTGAATTGGTGGTGGCAATGTTGACCCCATGAAGCTGCTGCCACTGCAGTGCTTCCTGCCGCAGCCTAAGTGAGTACAGTACAGGGGGGTTGAGTGTGGTGCTGGGTGGTGCGGGTGGGTGGTGCACTCTGGGATGAGGTGCTACATGGTCTTTCCCTGACTCACCTCCGTCTATTCCTTGTATTCCTTCCTTTTTTACTCTTCACCCAATTATCTTTCTCCATTTGTCTCCCTCCTCTCTCGCCCCTTCCACCTGTTCTTCCCCCCTCATGAGTGCAGGGGTGCCAGTGCAGGGGGGAGAGGGGGCTTTGGAGGCCGGGGAGGCAGGGGGGGTCGTGGAGGGGGGCGAGGGGGATTCAGGGGAGGGGGAAGGGGTGGAGGAGGTGGGTTCAGGGGGAGAGGGGGAGGGGGAGGGTTTCGGGGTGGAGGGGGGGGATTCAGGGGGAGGGGTGGTGGTTTCCGTGGTGGTCGTTTTTAGGGTGGCAAGTCAATGCGTGCATGTGTTCGAGATTTTGGGTGTAGTGGCATGTGCATACACCAAGGAGATTAAGATTTCCACTGTCCATGTCTCATCTCATAGTGTGCTGAAATGAGAATTTGCTAATTCTGTTATTGATGTGTGCCGAAGGACCACCTTGCAATGTAGTGTAGATCCGTTTGTGATTAATTGTTTGGATAAAGATACTCAGTGTAGGAACTTCACATGGGAGTAACGCGGTTGTTACATGAAAACGACAGGCGCGCGAAGCATCCCATCCCATGATCACATGACATGGACAGAATCGTGCATCCTGACACTTGACCGCAACACGCCAGTTCAACCAAGCAGCCTTTCCTCGCGCCACCTCAGCCGCGCCCTCGCGCCTGAACCCGCCCCTCACGCCACGCGCTCGTGACGATTCTCTAGGTGCCTCAATATTCGTCTCTTCACGCGCGACGCCGTCCCGCCCGCCGCCATGGACGCTCCCCCTTCCCCTTCCAACGCGTCCGTTCCGCGGTTCCTCTTCATCTCACCCTCCGCCTCCTACCGCGACCACCCGCGCGGACCCCCTTCCCCGCCCTCCCCCTCCGCCACCGCAGCCTTTCCGCGCTTCTCCCCTTCCCGCTTCTCCCCCGCCCGCTCCATCGGTGCGCGCCGGTTGCGCTGTCTGTCCGCGCGGGGGAATGGCGCGGGGGAAGAGGAGCATGCGGATGAGTACGGGGGGAGCGACGAGTCCGGGGACGACGGCGGAAGCATGGGGGGAGGGGATGACTTGCGGAGAGACGGGGGAGATGCGGAATATGCGGACTATTATGCAAGTGGGCGGGTTAATTCGCACCCGTTAGAATCACACCGCACGCCTAGTCACTCCCCGGGCTTCAGTATACCTTCCGCGCAGCAAGCGCGCAGCAGCAAATCGGTAGGCGACACGTCAGCAGAACGGGAGGGCTCCGACGAATATAACCAGCCCAGTCGAGACGACGATGATCCCGAACGAGAAGCGGAGGCTCGGGAAGCAGCAGGGTTGGGTTTGGGGGACGAGGAGTGGCTGGGTGTGTCGGGGCATAGGGGAGACGGCAGCGGGGGAGACGGAAGGGGGGGCGGCGGCAGCAGGGGAGGCGGAAGCGGGGGGGGCGGAAGCGGGGGAGGCGGAGGAGCGCGGGGGGCGCTGGAGGTGGCGATGGAGAGCCGGTCGCTGGCGAACCAGCTGCTGCGCGCCGATGAGGAGGGCCGCCTCCGCTGCAAGTGCGTTCCGCGCGGGGGGAGGGGGTGGGGAAGGGTGCATGGGGGTGGCGGGGAGAGGGGTTGAGGGATTCGGCGAGGGGTTGGGGGTGGCGGGGGAGAAGGATTTCGGGGGTAAGATGGGTTTATGCAGTGGAGAGGGGTTCCGGGGAGAAAGAGGGGTGTAGTTTTGGGAGGGCTTTAAGCGGCGGAGAGGGGCTTATGTGACATGGGGTATTGAAAGGAAGCTTTGACTTGAGTTCTGGTTTGCCCATTCCTAGTGGGAGAAGGTGTAAGGGGGAGATATGGTTGGGGGTTCTGAAGGGTAGGGTTACCCCACTATGACACCCGTGCACATATTTGTGTGTGTATGTGTGCATGGGGTGCGTTCATGTGCATGTGTGTGTGCGCAGGCTTGCAGCGCAGCGGTGGCCCCAGGACGCTGATGTCTTTCAAAAGATTGACGAGTACTACTATAAGGGGTATGCCTACCACTATCTCACTGGCTCCAAACACTTGAATTTCCAAAGCCGCTGGACTAATGTATGGAAGCTCTGTCTCCTTCGCCCTCCCACGCACACATGTGCATCAATTCAGGGTGGCTGTTCATGTGCGTGTGCCACTGTGTGCCCCTGATCATCGTGTGTCACCATGGCCCCCATATGCCCCCCATATGCCCCCCATATGCCCCCCATATGCCCCCCATATGCCCCCCATATGCCCCCCATATGCCCCCCATATGCCCCCCATATGCCCCCCATATGCCCCCCATATGCCCCCCATATGCCCCCCATATGCCCCCCATATGCCCCCCATATGCCCCCCATATGCCCCCCATGCCCCAATGCCGGCATGCGCACAGCACACTACTGGAGTCGGACGTCAGAGCCGTCACCTCGCCTTCTGCCCTCCAGGTATCCCACGCACAACGCCTTCCTCTTTCACCGCACACCTCCTACCTGCCTCACCCTACACCGCCTCCTTCCCTCGCCCCACGCCTCCCATGCCCTCTATCCACTCTCTCGCCCCTCGTCCTTCGCTGTCACAAATTCTCACTCCCACACCGCCCCTCTCTGCAGTAGCTCTCCTTTCCCAACGCTCGTTCCCACCATCTGTTTATCAACTCAAGTCGTTTCCTTTTAAATATCTTCCAAGGCCCGACATTCTTTAAGGTTCAAACTTACCAATTGCGTGTTTCTGAACGTTGTTTCCTCCCTTACCCCCCCCCCCCCCCCCACGCCCCTCTCCCAATCCCGTGCAGGACATGTGTCGTTTCCTCGCCACCTCTGCTCGCTTGCAGGATGCAGAGGCACCAGCCGAGCAAGCAGGACACAAGGGCACGGGGAGGGGCAGGGGGAGGGGCAGGGGGAGAGGCAGGGGGACGCGGGAGGAGGATGGGGGCGGGAGAGCGGGCAGAGGGGAGAGGGGGAGAGGGAGAGGGCAGGGGGTGGCGGGAATGGGAAGGCAGTGTGGGGATGGGGAGGGGTGGGAGGTGCGGGTGGTGGGAGGGGCGCTAGAGGCAGTGCTGCGGCTGAGTTCCCTGCTCTCACTCTCACAACCTGTATCTGCTGCCACCACTGCTGGCACTGCTGATGCCGCTGCTGCAGCCGCTGATACTGCTGTTGCTGCTGCCAACAATGCGAGAGCTGCTGCTGTGGCAGCTGATGAGCGGAGCAGGGCTGCTGCTGCTGGTGGTGCTGCTGAGGCAGGAGGTGCAGTGGCAGGCGGTGCGGCAGGAACAGGTGCAGTGCAGCAGAGCGCAGTGAGGGACGACCCTTGGGGTTTGTCCGCCTTCTTGGGAGGAGGAACTGCCTCGCTGGCAGCTGACGTGGATGCCAGACAGCATGCGACCGATGATAGGCCGCCAGCTGGCAGGACCGGGGGGAGGAAGCGGTCAGCTGCTGATGCGTTTGAAAGGGGGAGGGAAGGGGGGTGGGAGACACAGGGTAGGATGGATGGGAGATGGCGGAGAGGGGAGGGTGGAGCCAGGCGAGCAGCAGAGGAGAGGGAGAGAGTGAGGGAGGAGGAAGAGGAGAGGAGGAGGGAGGAGAGGGAGGCGGTGTGTGACGAGGCGGCCACCCTGGCGTGGAACATGATTGGTCGAGCGCTGCTTGCGAGTGCGAAGCAGCAGGGAGTGAAGCTGCTGGGCAGAACCGAGTCGGCACTGTTCCAGATCACTCTGCCGCCCAGTCTGGACAACTCAGGTGCTTGATCAGAGGCTGCCCAGCATGAAGCGGCTGCTTGGGTGCTTAACACCTTTCCACTGCTGTCTGCTTGGCTGACTGGATGGCCGAGAGCTCGTGCTGTGCTGAGTCCTGCCTGTGCTCCCACTCAAACCCCTCCACCTGCCCTCGTGGCCCAACCCTTGTCTTTGGAATGACTGCCCTTTCTCCTTCACAGATCCAAGCATGGAAAGCCTGAGGGCGGAGTATCGCCGTGCGTGTTTACACATTGGCTCCAGATAGGTCACGGCAGGCACGTCACAGGATTATTGCTTCGAGGCAAGCGCCAATGGCAGCCCCTTGTGTCAAGACCCAGAAGAGGGTGAAGCATGCACGTGTGATGCATACGGTAACTAGTGTCATTTCAACATGGAGTAATGTGGTGCGTGTGTGCTCAACAAGTGGTTCTGCATTTTTTCGCGTACAGCACAAAGCCAGGTTGTCATTAGGTTGCTGCTTGGTGCATCCATTGGTTGACTGAGTGTAGGTACCGCATGCTCAATTCATATGTAAGGGCCTGATTCTTTGCCAAATCAGTAGTACTCGTTACGAGCCACACTAGTTATTGCTCTGAACATGAGTTGTCCCTCTCCTGCTAACACTCATGCCACATCTGTGTCATGAGCAGCCGCGACCCACATACACCAGCACCCCAGCTCACTTCTCCATCTCTCTACTCTAACCACGAAAAACACTAGCAGGTGCACACCCCACCAGCCAGCTCTCCTGTTCCGCACACGGTCCTACGAGGAAGCAGCCTCAGCAGCAGCAGCGGCGGGAGCAGCGGGGCTGCCAAAGCTCCTCTCCCTCTCCCACGCCACCTGCGCCATCATGGTCAGCGCAGACCGTGCCTCTCTCTCCTCCCCCACCTCCCGTGCAAACGCCACGCGCACATCCATCACCCGCGCGGGGAAATCCGCCGCGGCAGCAGCACCGGGCATGGCGGGGCGAGCGAGCACGCGGAGGTCAAAGCCAAGGCGGTCCACCCAGATGAGCGACGCGTCGTCCACCTGCAGGTCTGGCAGCGCGGCGAAGGCGGCGGGGAAGCGGCGCAGGTCCTGCCAGTGCTCTCGGTTGAAGTCGGCCACTATGCCTGCTGCTACCTCGCGCAGAGGGTCGGCGTCCGCGTTCAGATAGGCCTCTGGGGAGATCCACTCGCCCTCCTGTGGGATGGGGGGGTTGGGGGCAGAGCAGAATGGCATGAGTTTAAAAGGCGGGGAAGTGCAGGTCCTGCCAGTGCTCTCGATTGATATCGGCCACTATGCCCGCTGTCGCCTCCCGCAGGGGGTCGGCGTCGGCACTGAAGTAGACATCTGGGGAGATCCACTCGTCCTCCTGCGGGTGACATGTGGTGGGTTGGTGCAGGGCAGATCAGTGTGAGGTGGGTTGGTGCAGGGCAGATCAGTGTGAGGTGGGTTGGTGCAGGGCAGATCAGTGTGAGGTGGGTTTGGCTGATTGGGTGGGACAGGTGCTGCCATGCGTAACCCTTACCCCTCAACCACTCACACCCACAGCACCACCACCTTCCTGTCCCCCCTCACCTGGTCGGCATCAGGCGCCACGAGCACACGATCAACGTCCAGCAGGAAGAGCGATGACGTGGAGCCGTTGCAGCTACCATGGGTAACCGTTGCGCACACATAAACACTCACGCCCACACCACCACACTCCCCTCTCCCCGCCTTTTTACCTGGTCGGCGTCTGGCGCCACGAGCACACGGTCAACGTCCAGCAGGAAGAGAGCAGAGGACGCAGAGCCGTCGCTGCTGCCCGCATCCTCCTCACTGTCGGGGAAGCGCCGCCTCCACGCCGCCTCCAGCTTCTGCCGTGTGGCGGGGGCGCGGGGCACAGGGTGTGATGGGAGCACGGGGGCACAGAAGGACGCGGAGCGAGTGAGAGCAGGAGTGGAGGACATAAGGGCAGGCAGGCAGGCAGGTGGATGTGTGAGGCTGCGTGGCTGCATGTGAGGGGGTGGCTGGGGGTTGGCGTACATGTGCAGATTTGTATTTTTCTGTTGCATGCATCCTGGTGCCTGGGATTTGTTTGTGGCAGCACAGGCAGATGGGCAAATGCCTGTAGCCTCGCTTTCTCTTGACCCTCCAACCAACATAAACGTCATTCACTCACCCCGAGCGTCTTGCCGTCGTGTGCCTTGGTCAGCCGTCCATGCAGCGACACCTGCGGCTTCTGCTGACCTGGCAGCTCGATCTGTCCAATCAGCGGGGCGACAACAGGGAAAAAGGAGGTTGTTTTAAGGAATGAGCACCTTGCCATCACACAAGACGCAATTGTGGCACTTGGGTGGACATCAGGTGGCCAGTCGAAATAAGGTTGCTGATGGATATGAGGTGGCAGGAGCATATGAGGTGGCAGGAGCATATGAGGTGCCTGAGAAATGGCCGCTACTGCATGTGTGAGCACGTGGATACGAGGCGGCTGGTGGACATAAGGTAGCTGGGAAGCGGTTGTCCCACTTGGGGCACATGTTGCAGGGCCTGAATGGGATAGTTGCACGTGTGTGAGTGTGCACTTTCATTGAGTTCGACTCCCCCTTACCTCCACAAGTAGGCTCGCCTCTTACTCTTCCCCTTACCTGCACGTGTAGGCACGCCTGCGCGTCGTCAGCGAGGTTGGCGGCGGCGCGGCTCGAGTCAGCGAGCAGCACGATGGGGCGGCCCTCGGGGTCGGGCGCGAAGAACGCGTGGCAGGCCAGCGGCCACGTGGCGGGGAGTGGTTGGTCGTCGCCCGCGAGCGTGCTGCCCGCGCCGCCGTGCGCGAGCGTGACGAGCGTGCCCTCCGCCGACAGCTCCACCACCGTCTGCGCCAACTCCGCCGCGGACGGGCGCACCGCGGGAGGGGCGGAAACTGGAGGTTGGAAGGAAGTGCAGGATGGGGAGGAATTCAGGTTGGAGTCCCTCTAAGCGCTAACTCCGCAAACGTTTGCGCAATTCAGGGATTTGCGGCGAGGGAAAGGTTGAAAGGAGTGGGGGGTGTGAAGGGGTGGGGGGAGGGGAGGGGGGAAGGAAGGGGCGGAGGCGGGGGAAGGAAGGGCTGCTGATTTAAGGTAGGTAGGGCACCGGGAGTTTTGAAGGGTAAAAGAGTGGATAGGAGCATGGAGCAAGGAAGACGACACATGCGACCTGGTGGGCATGGTGCGGCACGCAAGGGTCGGGATGCGAGGAGGGTGCGTACGCGGGGTAGGGAGGCATGATGGGGATCGTATGCGAGAGAATAGCGGTGCAACGCTGAGAGAGCCTGCCATCTGCACTTACCAGCTTCCGCTGCTGCCGCTGCGCTGCACCTGACACCCCTCACCGCCGCTGCCGCTACGAGCTGAATCAAGGCAGCGATGGGATGGGAGAAAGGAATATTCATAAGCAAATGACATAAAAATGATTTGGTCACAGAATAACCACCTTACAGGATTTCAAATGACACGGAGCTGTTCAGCAGCAGTGCATGCGAGCGATCACAAGATGCATAATGCGTCGACTCAAAAGCTCCACAGTAGCCGGGTGAATGGGGGCACTCTCGCGTCGCAAAATATATTAATTTGTGCACGGTGCGTCGAATCTATACCTGGATTCCCGTTGAGGCCACCTTCTGGCTGCCGATCGCCGAGTGCGCGTTCAAACCGAGAGTTTGGCCGAGGAATGCGGCCTGCACGATACGGAAGGTCGGTGGACGCGAAAACACATTGCGAATCAGCGCATACGCTACATCAGATGAGATTGCAAGACGAGGACGCTAACCAGCGCACGAAAGCTTGCTCACCGGCACCTTGGGAGCCCTAACGGCTGTGGCCTGCGATCCTCTCTCCACTAAGCATAAATTTGCCGCCTGGATGGCGCACGATGAGC